TGTATTTGCACCAGTCCCATGTGAAAATGACATCTGTCTGAATCTGTAGACCACATCTCATGAATGTAGCAGCACCATTTAAATGTTAACACAAAATATAAGTGAGGAGCATATAGGGTTACAATCAGACGTGCCACATAAGAAACATGGTCTTCAACATGTGTCCATGTTTATTTTATATTTTATTGTGTCAGCTTGAAACCATACAACCATGTAGTGTAGTCGAACACGAATGTGCATGGTGAATCAAATCCTAAACAGTCCATGAACCAATAAGTGACACATCTTGACTGCACTTCAATTTCTTGACCACTAGATGTCCTATTCGAGCACTGTGTCATTGAAGCCTCGAGTAATGAACCATATTTGTGAATACTGTGTAGAATCTTCAACAAAGCCTCGATCAGCCATCACTAGTTGCAGGCAGGAGTAGTGGAGATAGCACAAAGCAAAACAAATGGCCACAGAGTCTCTCAAACAGTGTCGAAGTCGGCCAGAGACATCTCAGAGGAATATCCACAACGGACTGGCAACAAGCAAGCTCTTGCTTACAGGTTAAGTAGGTCTTTTTAGGTGATTAGCTCCAGCTGCTGCGGCCACACCTGGACCCCCACCTGCCTACCAGGAGGAGAGAGAGAGAGAGAAAAGAGAGGGGAGAGAGAGGGAGTGACCCTAACACAAGGTGCACAGAGGGAAAAGTCTGACACTTGTAACAGAAGACAACTGGTTTTGGTTTGTGATATTAATCAGGGTCATTATAAAACACATGACAAAGGACATTTAATTAAAAAGGTGTGATGCAGATAAGGTCTTAACATACATAATTAAATAAAACTGAATAAAGAGAGGAAGGGCAACAAAATACCACATGAATAAGGCATATTTACAAACTTATAAAACACAACTATAAAATTACTTGAAAGTCCTCATTCTTGCCACCAAGAAATAAACTCTGCAGATAAAAAGAAATGTGATGCTACAGCAGGGGGAAACAGCTAGCATGTCTACAAAAACTGAACTGTACAAACTACAACTGGTGGTTTTACAGGGTGCTGTATGGTCAAGAACTAGTCTAGCACATAACCTTTTTAAAAGTACAAGTGATCTTTTTTGCTCTTTGATTAATGTATAGATTAAACATTTATAAACACAGTCATCTATGGGTTAAACTAGTGAGCTTCAGAGGTGCTGGTAAATGAATGTTGTTACCTTTAAACAAGGCTGGGTTAGCTGTTTCAGGTTTTAAGCCAAGCTGCCTCCTAAAAGTAGCTTCATACTGTGTATGTAACTGACAGACATGGAATTTTAATGTTCTCACCAAACTCTCACAAAAAGCAAATAGTAAATGTTGAACTATTCCTTTAAAGAGAATGGGAAGTCCTTAAGCATGGTCATGAATGAACTTTGATGGTTAGCTAACAAAACAGCCAGGAGAGCATTAGTTGTTCTGGGGATGGCTGACATATTTGCACTACTGATGTAGATGGGTCTTACATGGCCAAACAAAGAAAGAGACCAAGTTAATCCTAATGTTGATACATAATAACTAATCTCAGAATTCAATCTCACACTTCTTCTTCTTCTTTCGGCTGTTCCCGTTAGGGGTCGCCACAGCGAATCATCTGTTTCCACCTAACTCTATCCTCGGCATCCTTCTACCAATATAACCACTATCCCTCCTCTGCACATGTCCAAACCATTTCAATCTGGCGTCTCTGACCTTGTCCCCAAAACAGCCGACCTGAGCTGTCCCTCTGATGTGCTCATTCCTAATCCTGTCCATCCTGGTCACTCCTAAACAGAACCTCAACATCCTCATCTCTGCTACCTCCATCTCTGCCTCTTGTCTTTTCCTCACTGCTACAGTCTCTAACCCATACAGCATAGCTGGTCTCACTACTGTCTTGTACACCTTTCCTTTGATTCTTGCTGACACTCTTCTGTCACACAACACTCCTGACACCTTTCTCCACCCACTCCAACCCGCCTGCACTCGCCTCTTCCCCTCTTTCCTACACTCCCCATCACACTGGACTGTTGACCCCAAATACTTAAACTCCTGCACCTTCTTGACCTCAGCCCCCTGTAACCTCACTGTTCCACTTCCCTCCCTCTCGTTCATACATATGTATCATGTATTCAGTCTTACCACGACTGACTTTCATTCCTCTTCTTTCCAGAGCAGACCTCCACCTTTCCAGGTATTTCTCCACCTGCTCTCTGCTCTCACTACAGCATTATCATTTACACTTACTTTAACAATTCATACAGTGGAACAAGACACATGAATGAATGATTTTCCATTTCCTTGTAGTGTCCATGTGTCTTAATTTTAATACATTATAGGCTGTAGACAACCACTTTTAGAGCTGGATAATGAATCTGATTTGAAACAATCAGAAACAATAAATTTTTCGAACAGATTAATTGTTTCTTGGCAAAAATCCTGCAAACCGACATCCTTCCCATCTCTATCTCTCTGTCACGCTAATCTGTACAAGTCCTTCTCACCTTCCCTCGTGTCTAACCTGGCATACAACTCATCATATGCTTTCTGTTTGGCCATTGCCACCTCCCTCTTCACTCTACACTGCAATTCCTTGTAATCCTGTCTACTGTCTTCAGTCCTTTCTACGTCCCACTTCTTTTTAGCTAGCCTCTTCCTCTGAATGCTGTCCTGTACTTCCTCGTTCCACCACCATGTTTCCTTATCTTCTTTCCTCCTTCCAGATGACACACCTAGCACCTTCCTACCTGTCTCCCTGATCACTTCTGCTGTAGTTTCCCAGTCATCTGGAAGTTCTTCCTGACCACCCAAAGCCTGTCTCAACTTCTGTCTGAATTCCTCATGACATTCTTTCTTTTGCAACCTCCACCACTTGGTCTTCTTTTCTGTCTTTCCTCTCCTCTTCTTCCTGACCACCAGAGTCATCCTACACACCACGGGTGTGTGCGGGTATGTCTCGGCACACTGACTGAATGACTGATTTTCCATCACAGTTTCACCTCAGGCAGTTAGTTTATTCTGCATTTCCACCAAGGCAAAGCACTTCCTGTGCAGTACGTTTATTGAACAGCAGCTAAATGCACTGCAGCGGCAGAAGGTTTTTATTTGGATTTTAATGTAGGCAACTTGCAGAAAGCCAGAAAGCACCGAGAACAAAGTTATCTTGAATGACACAGTCAGTCCCTCAGGTTGAAATGCATTAGTAAGAAACATGGTTACTTTCAAATACAAGTCTTTGTGCATTATCAAATAAGAACAGTTGACTTGTTTAGATTGATTAGGTATAAGTAGAGATATGGCCTATAGTAAATTGGAGGCGTGTAAAAGATGTTCTAAAGGCTACTGTTACAGTGTGTGACTGTGCCAGATAGGAAAAAAATGCTCTAAATTCTAATGCAGCTGGATTATGGCACATATTGTCTGGCTGTTCCTTGGTTGTAGTCAGTATTATATTATGTGCCTTAGCTTTAGCCATTTTTGTGACAAGCATATTAAAGGCTACTTTCATCCCGTGTTGACCTGTACAGTATTCATGCTGTGTGAACCTAACAGCTTATCGAGTAATTACAAAACCACTGTTCATATTTCGTATTGAGTATACTATTTTGTATGTTTCAGCAGGTACTCACGTTTTTCATGTTCACAAATTGTTCATTTTAGATTAAAGTATAAATACTGTTGAATATTCTGTTTTTTTATTTGTGTGTATTTATAAAATGTACAAAAAAAATCTACAAATAATTCTTGTTCTCTTAAGGTTGTGGCTGTATATGTTTGAAGCAGCAGTACTAAGAGTAATTAATTGTTCAATAAGAGTTGCTGCAGGTTTGACCAAATAAAATATAAGATGCACACAGGACATTTAAACCCTGTATATTAATGTATCTGATGGTTACACCACATTTTCTTCAGTGCATTCCAGCTCTATATTATACTAATAATTCCTAGTAATATACTGAATCGATTAATGTAACCTGGACACAGATAAGTGGCAAAAAATGGATGGAGGGATTAGCCAATAAAAAAAAAACAGTATTTAAGTCTTTCTTCAAATCTGCACTTGCACATTATAAGTCAGTGAGTGTTCATAACTAATATCATATTACTGTCTGTGACAGGAGAGATGAAATGTTCAGGAATTCAGGAAATTAAATTTAACAGCTTAGTATCTGTTTTGAAAGAGGTGAATACTTTATAAGGTTTCAAGGTTTGCAGATGCGCTGACAACTTAAATAAACACGGCAGTGGCATATTTCATTTCCGAAGGTTATGTATCTTTCCCATGAACCTCTTCACTCGCTCTGGGTCAAGTGCATTGGCCCAGTGGCCCCCCTCCTTGAAATGAGAACCGATGATCATTCCATTTGCATCTAGGTAGCGTTCAGCGTTGTCATAGGTCACGCCAGAACCTATCAGCACTGGGATTTTCACAGACTGGGAAACCTCTGTAAAAGCAAAGAAACAGTACAACAGTGCCTGTTGTAATGATGAGAAGAGACTTCACCAAGACAGGCTGCAAGAGACCCAGACATCTTTGAACACAGTAGAGGCTAGCTTCCATCCTGCCATCTGAGCTCCAGTGTCATTCTGTCTGACTGCATAGCTCTCAGCAGTGTGTCTGTGTTAACAAGAGAGTGCATATGTGTGAGGGAGAGTGTGTGTGTTCTTCTTTGTGTCAGCACTGCTGGGTATGTGAAACCAACGTGCTGCACCCATTTAAGCTCCCAAGTGTTTACAGTCTTTGTGTATCAAGTTGGAGACTGCTTAAAATAGCAGCCCTGGTACTGCCCTGAGAAGGACATGGTGCATACCTCAGACTCAGTGAACAATGGCAGATACACACCTGGGTTTCATCACAGCCTCCTGATGGAACAAGTATGTATTCACAACAATGTAAAAAATACTCTCATGTAAGTAAAGAAATCCCACCAAAATTTAACTTAAGTAGTACCAGCTAAATCCAGCCAGGTATTCAAACTCCAGGTTCTCTTTTGATGTGTTATATTATTGGATCGTTATTACCAGTACATATAACATACAAGCAGTATTTTAATGTTCTGTTGAGGTGAAGCCTATTTTAACTACTAAACTGCATCATATTTTTTAAGCTGATCATATGCTTTGCATGTACGTTTTGATTTTGCAAAGTAGCTAGTAACAACAGCTATAAATAAAAGCATTGGAGTAATGTACAATCCTTTTTCTGAAATGTACAGTGGTGAGAAAAGTATTCAGAGATTTAAAAACTTACTTACTTGAGTAAAGACATGGTATAAGCAGCATCAAAACTATCAAAATGAAAAGTTCCTGTTTTATGTTTTTGAATCATATTATGTAAAATGGCTTTATGCGATGTATATTAACTAGAAACTATAACTGGATTAATAGATTTGCGGTCAACAGTAAACACGTTTAGATATTACACATGATAAAGTTGATATGACAGACTTAGAGCAACATTAGCATTCACAGATTATTTCAGTGGCTGATGACTGTAAGTCCAGTGTTCAATATCCTTTTAGCTGTGCTTTGATTTCCACCAACTTCAGAGAAAAATATCTGGCTCTTCAGCTGCTAAAAAGCTCCACTGTGTTCACCAGCTAACTGTTTCTGCTGTGTGCTGCTGAGGAAGTACTATGTAGTTGGCTTATCGCTAGAAACAGCTGCCTGCTGAAACTGACACAAAGGTAACACTAGGTTTGGATTGGGCAGATACAGTGCCTTGCGAAAGTATTCGGCCCCCTTGAACTTTGCGACCTTTTGCCACATTTCAGGCTTCAAACATAAAGATATAAAACTGTAATTTTTTGTGAAGAATCAACAACAAGTGGGACACAATCATGAAGTGGAACGAAATTTATTGGATATTTCAAACTTTTTTAACAAATAAAAAACTGAATAATTGGGCGTGCAAAATTATTCAGCCCCTTTACTTTCAGTGCAGCAAACTCTCTCCAGAAGTTCAGTGAGGATCTCTGAATGATCCAATGTTGACCTAAATGACTAATGATGATAAATAGAATCCACCTGTGTGTAATCAAGTCTCCGTATAAATGCACCTGCACTGTGATAGTCTCAGAGGTCTGTTTAAAGCGCAGAGAGCATCATGAAGAACAAGGAACACACCAGGCAGGTCCGAGATACTGTTGTGGAGAAGTTTAAAGCCGGATTTGGATACAAAAAGATTTCCCAAGCTTTAAACATCCCAAGGAGCACTGTGCAAGTGATAATATTGAAATGGAAGGAGTATCAGACCACTGCAAATCTACCAAGACCTGGCCGTCCCTCTAAACTTTCAGCTCATACAAGGAGAAGACTGATCAGAGATGCAGCCAAGAGGCCCATGATCACTCTGGATGAACTGCAGAGATCTACAGCTGAGGTGGGAGACTCTGTCCATAGGACAACAATCAGTCGTATACTGCACAAATCTGGCCTTTATGGAAGAGTGGCAAGAAGAAAGCCATTTCTTAAAGATATCCATAAAAAGTGTCGTTTAAAGTTTGCCACAAGCCACCTGGGAGACACACCAAACATGTGGAAGAAGGTGCTCTGGTCAGATGAAACCAAAATCGAACTTTTTGGCAACAATGCAAAACGTTATGTTTGGCGTAAAAGCAACACAGCTCATCACCCTGAACACACCATCCCCACTGTCAAACATGGTGGTGGCAGCATCATTGTTTGGGCCTGCTTTTCTTCAGCAGGGACAGGGAAGATGGTTAAACTTGATGGGAAGATGGATGGAGCCAAATACAGGACCATTCTGGAAGGAAACCTGATGGAGTCTGCAAAAGACCTGAGACTGGGACGGAGATTTGTCTTCCAACAAGACAATGATCCAAAACATAAAGCAAAATCTACAATGGAATGGTTCACAAATAAACATATCCAGGTGTTAGAATGGCCAAGTCAAAGTCCAGACCTGAATCCAATCGAGAATCTGTGGAAAACTGCTGTTCACAAACGCTCTCCATCCAACCTCACTGAGCTCGAGCTGTTTTGCAAGGAGGCATGGGCAAAAATTTCAGTCTCTCGATGTGCAAAACTGATAGAGACATACCCCAAGTGACTTACAGCTGTAATCGCAGCAAAAGGTGGCGCTACAACGTATTAACTTAAGGGGGTTGAATAATTTTGCACGCCCAATTTTTCAGTTTTTTTATTTGTTAAAAAAGTTTGACATATCCAATAAATTTCGTTCCACTTCATGATTGTGTCCCACTTGTTGTTGATTCTTCACAAAAAATTACAGTTTTATATCTTTATGTTTGAAGCCTGAAATGTGGCAAAAGGTCGCAAAGTTCAAGGGGGCCGAATACTTTCGCAAGGCACTGTATTTCTTTGTTTAGTTATTATAGCAACTTACCTAAAGGTATTTAAAAGCTTTGTGGTTTTTCCAGAGCACACAAAACCAGATGTAAACTCAACTTTGATCTAGTTTCACCAGATCAAGTTGATATAGTGGACACATCAAAAAATATACCGAGTTACAAATCAAGTTGAAATGGAGGAACATGAGTATAAATTCATGTGTTCTTCCACTAATATCCCAGGGCCAAGAGTCACTCTCCTTTTAGTGCTCTGAACAACACAATGGAGTGTACAAAAAGCAAACAGGTCTGAATACCTTCTGAAGCCACATATGAGCCTTGGTACTTCTTAAATTTGAGAAATTATATGTTTTTCTCAATTTCGTTTTACTGTTAATTGAATACCTTTTAAACAAATTGACTGACTAATGATGATAAAGTGATTAACATTAAATCTGTCACATATTGCTATATAACATTATGCCCAAGTGTCAAACAGTGCACAGCTAGAATACAGCACCATGCATGAAGTGTTTGTAGCAGTACCTCTGAGCTCCCGGGGGTCAGCCTGAACACCGGTGGATGCTCCTGTGATGATGAGTCCATCTGAAAGGAAGAACTCTGCAGCACGGGCCGTCTCTTCGATGCTCATGTCAGATGTCAGGGCATGGGAGCTGGGAATACATGCATACACTATACTTACACAAGGCTTCACAGACTGAGGTGAACTGTGGACAGCGGGCTGAAACCAGAGTTACGTTAATTAAAATTAAAATGATTTAAAGCTGAGACCAAGAACATGAGCAGGATGTCAGTTTCTATATGCTATTCCATCAAAACTTTCAAATCGTCAACCTCCACCTATTCTATTTCACAATGCAAAGTTGATGTAGTGAGTGATATTTCTTTGGCAGCACTCACTAATGACTTTGCCTAACCAACAGCAACAATTTGAGAGATCTCTGGAGCGCCTTTAAATTTTTCAGGTTTTTTTTTTTTGGACATTTTTGCCTTTATTGAATAGTGTAGTGGCAGACAGGAATTGACAAGAGTGGTATGACATGCATCAAAAGTCCCCTGCTGGAATCAAATCTGTGATATTATGGTTATATGTGCCCTGACCATTCAGCTATGAGGCCACTCTTGGAAATCTCTTCATTTTAAGAGTATTTTTAAGTCAAAAGAAAATTTGTAAATAGGTTAAATCCATATGTTTGCGAGTACTAGTGCAAATTAATACTTTTTACTTGAATCTTCCACTTAAGTCCAAAATTTCATCTTCAGCTGATGTGATTTTTTTTTAAATACAAATTTAAATTGGTCAAAATCCTGCCAGGCCTAATGGGCTCTATGCATGGAACACTTCCATGTTTGACCTGAAACAGTGTGGGAATTTCTGGTCAGCTAGAGAGAGCCAGCTGGAGGACACAGTCGTCACACTTCACCAGCTGTTTACTGAAATTACCAAACTTGATACAGACGTAAAGCTGAAGCATCAAGAGCTACAAGGGACTCTGCATAATCTGCATTTATGACACAAATATATAAATTACAGCCTTTCTAAAGAGTACCCACAAATTAGCTTATGTAATCGATACCACCATTTCTAGAACACATCCTGCTTATGATGTAGAGGAAATGACATTTTAAATTACCTTGTGTAAAACAGTATGTCATCTTTGGAAGCAGAAAATCACTCCAAGCCAAACTTGTCGCTGATAGCCATTTCTTCAGTTTGTTTCTGTGACTTCGCCATCTCCACACAGAGATCTTCAATGTGATCCAGGGTGAGAGTGAATGCTGTGGGCTCAGTAGTGGAGCAGGTCATGATCCTGTGAGCTACATCCACTGGGGGATCCTTATTTTGGGCTGTGTTCGGCAGTGGATTTGGTCGTTCTCTCCTTTACCAAACCCAGGGTCAAGTTATTTATATATATATAACTTATGTGTATATATAAGATACTGAAAAAGCACTGGGGCGGCCCCATTTTTCAGACGTCTGTCCAGTTGGAATAACAGGCTCAATCAGGCCTGTACTCGGAAAGTGTCCGCTGCAGACTCTTGAATGATTAGTAATGATAAGGTTGTCTCACCGAATATTAACTACCCAATTCTTCTGCAGTTTTTTATCTTAGGGAAATGTGTGGAAACTGATAACTGAGTTGAACCTGGCAGAGGCTGTACACAGTGGGACACAGCAGTGATGGCTGGTAACTCAGGCTACTGCTATCCTCTCAGATTTTAAATGTAATTATTTTCGGATGTTTTGAGCTCATGGCATACTGGTTACAAAACCATGAAAATGCCAGTAAAAAGATAAAACAGAGAAGTAAATTATGCTGGTTTTCTGACTAGTGTTACTATCCTAGTTTGCAGTTGCTCGCACAACGGAAGTTAACCAGCAGCCTGCGATTTCGCTGGAAATGCATCAGACTCTGCCATGCATATAGCCCACTGGCAGCTAAGGTAAAGCACATTTAATTTGAGGATACTGCCAAAGTTAGTTAGTAAGGGACTAGATTGGTTTTTAGTCCTGCCACTCGTAAATATGCCAGTATCACCAGAGAATATGTATTTCTAAGTGAACCAACACAGTTGTGTTCAGCGATAAAGTGTCAAAAATGTTTTTTTAAATATCAGTGGGTCATCTAGCTCTACTTTCTAATTAAAGATGGTGATCTCACCTGTGCTTCTTTTTGATGTCAGTGAAGATCTGAACACGGTCAGCTCCAATCTGCTTGCGATATCTTAGTAAGTCTCCAGCGCAGGCATTCAGAAGGCCCTCATCAGCCACGTGAGAAAAGACAAAACCTTCAGCCCTGATGAAATCCAGACCTGTAACCGTATAGTGATGTTATAATGGAATGGTTCACTAACTACTAGCCACTGTATCCAATACCGGTATGTTTGGGCTGAGACTGTTACACAAGTAGCTGACCTTTGTTCAGAAAGTACAAACACACAGCAGTTTCACTGATAAACACACCTGAAATTTAGACAGATAGTGAAATCAGTTGCCGTAGTGTTTAGTAGGAAAATCTGTTTAAATCTTCGCCATGACTGTCTTGGTGATATAACTGAAGACCTCTGTCCTGCTCTACAAGCTTTGGCTGCAGATGATTACACCCTCAACTATATCTTAATTGACGGAAAGATCGAACCTGAGGCCAGAGCTACGGCCAATGCCTGCTGGTTAGCAGAAGACAGTATTTGCACTCCGAGTGGCAGGAACGGACAGATGCCTCTCACAGCCGCACATACTACAGTCATACAGGCACACACCTCAGGGCCCACTGAGGAAGAGTAGGGGACATCATGCATGTTCTCAATGATCAGACCATCCTGAGAGAGGTTTACGAGCAGTGGTTAATGGCTTGTCTGGAAAGACTTCAAATACTTAAATAATTCACTCAGTGTGAAATAACTTACAATCCCTTCATCACGGTAGATTGATGCCTCCCTGCATGCTTCTTTAATGATGTGGGACATTTTCATACAACCCAGGGGGGTGCCTGAGATGCAGGAGAAACTTGTTTACATATAGTAAAAATATCACAAATTATAGCTCCCAAACTTGCAGTGGAGCAATTTTACAGTGTGGTATTGCTACTTTCACTAAGGTAATCCATCTTAGATCACTGAAAGCTTTACATGTAAACACTTGAGGACACACGCCAGTAGACATACAGTCTTACTATACCTGGCAAGGCTTTAACATGAATCATTCCAATAACCACGGATTTTAGGCGGCCAAAAAGGTCCATAAACTTCATCTTTCCGTTTTTCTACAGCAACCAGGTATCAGAAAACAAGTATTTTTTCCTTTCCTTTTTCTCCTCATGGGGCATGATGATCACGTGACTGGTCAAAGATCAATTTTATTTAATCTATGTAATAACAACAACAACAATAATAATAACAATTACAACAACTATAATAATAATAATAATAATACACCATTCTCAAAATCGTTCTAAATCAATAGTGCAGAAAACCACCGTTCATCTGACATGACGTCACCACCTGGCGCTGGAAAAGGGCTGCTTGTAAGAGCAGGTATGGAAGCCCGTTGTGGAAATGTGCGCCCCGGCAGAAGCCTCCCATAGTTTTTTTATTTATCTAATTTTTTGCGTGACAGCGATTGACAACTAAATATAAAGGTCATAAAACTAAAATGCGTAATTACCTCGCAATATTGTGTTCTTGGTCAGCTGTATTTTTCGCTTAACCCAAAACTCTGCCGCTTTGTTTACATCTGACAAACTAGCCATGCGGTGCCTGGACACTTCCTCTTTGTAAGCGCCGCCCCTGCAGCTGTCACCGCAGCTGTCACGCCTCCCGTTAGCCGGCTAATTTATAACTCTTTTCTTTTGGTTTTGCACAATATAGAGCAAATATATTTAAAACGTGTGTTGTCTGCATACGCTACAGATGTGACACTGTGGTTAACTGAACTGAACTGAGATTATAAGGTTGGAGGTTTAGCGCCAAGTTAAAGCTGCTCCTCCCTGACGTTGATGTTTCAAGTCATCTGTTTCCTACAAGGCGCCAGCTCAGAGGAATTAGCTCGGCCTGGACACACTCGGTCCCTTCGCGTCTGAACACCCGGAGGGGAAGTTACCCAGTAGTCATATTTATTCTTAGACGTGAATAAGAGTGAACTTCAAGGACAGAATCTTGAGGTGAGTGGACGAAACGACCCATGGTCACTGTATTGAGTTAGTTTCTGTTGCAATTTGTGTGGCCAGGCTGACTTAACTCCAAGGCTACCGCAACAAGTTGGAATGAAAATAATGAATCACGAGTTTGTATGGATGCACGTAATTTTGTGTCGTCTGTATTAACTTCGTGCACGATGTTGTTGATGTTATTAAAATTGTGACTTGAGAAAATAATCGTGTCAACTGTGCTGGGGTTAGGCCATTATGTGGCTAACCAGCTGTCCTAACTTAGCGGAGGAAATAACTAGGTTTTCCTTAAAAATACACAAAGTAACAATGTTGAGCAGAAAGTATAGTGTCTCTTATTAGTCATCGACTGCCTACATTAATATACTTAACAGTGTGTGGTGCTTTGTCCGACTTTTAATACTGCATACCGTCTCCATTTACCCGCGCCAGGCTGAGTTGGGCTTTGTCAGAAGGAGGTAGTTCAGTGTTGGGGGTTGGGAGTAGCGCTATATGTGTGTTTTAAAGTCCAAAATAACGCTTAAACATTTGTTTTTCATAGGTTTACTCGGAAACTGACACCAGCCCCTCAGAGTATAATGCGAGGCAAACGGTAAGTTTGATATTTATCAAATCAATCGCGTTATCAGGCGCGTCAGTCAAAGTGTGTCACGACAGAAACAAAAGTTGATAGAGCTTTAGCCATCCGGCTAACGCTAGTTAGCCTGTTGCTGTTACCTTCATTTGACCACATTTATCTTGAGCGCGTTTGATATGCATAGTGGTGACTAAGGAGCTTACAGCTTCGTGTTTGTTTTTGTATTACAGGGAAGAGACAGAACCGAAGTCTGTTGTTCCCGAGGCGCCCAAGCAAAACCCAGTTAGACCGAGGAAGAGGAAGGCAGATGTTGCTATTGTGAGTAGTGTGAAAGGCTAGTAAACTAGCCTGTAACTGCTCTAATTAAATAACCAGAGCTAAAAACTGGTGCATTTGTCATTGTTGGCAAATTAAGTGAAGTATTGCTGACTGATGCAACTGATGCTGTATTGCATATGAGTAGAGATGCATTTACTAATGGTTTTATTGGTGTTTACCAAATCTAACACCAAGCTTTTACATGATGTGGAAATGGATCTGGTTGAAGCAGCTTGGTGCTGTTTGTGAACTGAATAAAATGAATCTTTTTTTTGATCCTCAGTATTTACAAGATCTGGATGAGGAGACAGTAGAGATGACAAAGAAGAAGCAGCGTGACTGTAAGGTTGGTGTCAAAACATGCCTCACCCCATGTTTTAGTTCTGCCACTATATCCATGGCAGTGTTTCCTGGCGTGGTGGCATTGCCACCTGAGGATGGGGGCATCTGCCCAGACACCCAACCTCCTCTCTCCTCATCTGTCCCTCTCTGAAGCTATATCTTCCATCCGTAGTCCGTGTTCCCTCAATGGAGGTGACGAAACACTTAATGGATTAATATAGGCTTGGTATTTTTCAGTGACAGTTATAATCAAAAACAAATTTTTATTTATTTATTTTTTTTTTTTGTACTTCCAAAATCCTCAACATTTCGCTGGTTGGTGCTTCACTCAACAACGTAACCACAGCCTGACTGAAAGCAAGACCTGATGTCAGAATTTGTTCAAGATGTCAGAAGTCAATTTGTTCATCATTAACATGAACAAATTGAAATCTTTCTGATGAATAAGATTTGAACCAACTTGGTGCAATTCCTTTAATCCTGTTCAAGTCTCTGCAGTAAGATGCTGTGATCAGTGGTGTCAAAAGCAGCACTGAGATCTAAGAGGACAAGTATGGAGACAAGTCCTTTATCTAAGGCTAGGAGAAGATCATTGGTGACTTTCACCAGTGCAGTTTCTGTACTATGATGGATTCTAAATCCTGACTGAAAATCCTCCAACAAATCATTCTTGTGCAGGTGGTCACATGATTGCTTTTCAACAGCTTTTTCAAAGATTTTAGAAATAAGTAGAAGATTGAATATCGGTCCATAATTAGCTAGAATGCCTGGGTCAAGAGTAGGCTTTTTGAGTAGAGGTTTAATTACTGCAACTTTAAAAGCCTGTGGAACATAGCCTGTTAATAGAGAGAGGTTAATCAGATCTAGTATGGATGTGTTGATTAGGGGAAACATGTCTTTGAGCAGCCTTGTCGAGATGGGGTCCAGGAGACATGTTGATGATTTAGATGAAGCAATTGTTGAGGTCAACTCAGAGAGATCTATGGGAGAGAAGTAGTCAAAGTATAAATCAAATCAAATCAAATCAAATTTTATTTGTATAGCGCCAAATCACAACAAAAGTCATCTCAGGACACTTTACAAAGTAAGGTCTAGACCTGACTGTTATCACTATTATTACAGAGGGAAAACCCAACCTATCCCCCTTGAGCAAGCACTTGGCGACAGTGGGGAGGAAAAACTCCCTATAACGGAAGAAACCTCCGACAGACCCCGGCTCTTGGTGGACGGCCTTCTGCCTCGTCCGGTTGGGGTGAGTGGATAGAGGAGAGACAAAAGAAGAAAAGCAACAAGACACAACAAACAATCAAACACTGATCAGGTCGATGTGGCTGGTGACTGCTTGTCAGAGACATAGAGCTCCAGGGCCAGGGCAACCTGCAGAAAGGTACAGGGAGAGAGAGAGGACACACTACGGGAGAGA